GGAGGAGGTGATGAGGGAGCTAGAGGGAAAGATTTCTTGGGAGGAGCAGAGTGGGCGATTTGGGCGGTATCTGTGGATGAGGTTGGCGATGTAGCTAGGGGCAGTGTTGTGGATGGCTTTGTAAGCTGTGTTTAGTATTTTGAATTTTATACGTTGGGTTAGTGGAAGCCAATGAAGGGATTGGCAGAGAGTGGCAGCAGTCACTGATAGGTTGGTATGGTATAGGAGTCTAGCAGCAGCATTCATAATAGACTGAAGGGGGGATAGCCTGTGTAACGGTAGACCAGTGAGGAGGGAGTTGCAGTAATCAAGGCGGGATATAACCAAGGCGTGGATAGGTTTTGTGGTGTCATTGGTGAGAAAGGGGTGGATTTTGGAGATGTTCTGGAGGTTGAGGCAGAGTTTAGCCAGTGAGTGGATGTGGGGCCAAAAGGAGAGGTGAGAGTCTAGGATTATGCATAGCACCCTGGCATGAGGGGAAGGACCAGTGGCTGTGCTGTTGCTCCTAATGGTAAAGTCGTCAAGGTAGGTAAAGTTTAAGGTAGTGATGTGACATCCATGCTGATATGTCGCTTAGTAGATTTGTGATACTTGAGGGGGTGAGCTGGGAAGTGGAAAGATAGATCTGGGTGTCATCGGCATAGAGGTGGTATTCGAAGCCATGGGAAATTATCAGTTGGCCCAGGGAGGAGGTATAGAGGGGAAAGGAGGGGCCCAAGGACAGAACCTTGGGGTACCCCAACAGGAAGAGAGGAGGAGGAGTTGTATGTGACACTGGAAGTGCACTGCGAAAGGTAAGAGGAGAACCAGGAGAGCAGAGTCACGGAGACCGTTGAAGTGGAGTTTACTGAGGAGGAGCGGGTGGTGGTCGACTGTGTCAAAGGCAGCGGAAAGGTCAAGGAATAGGAGTTTGGAGTAATGGCCGTTGGTTTTAGCCGTTAGTAGGTCATTAGTGAGTTTTAGTAGGGCAGTTTCTGTGGGATGTCGTGGGCGGAAGCCAGACTGTCAGGGATCAAGAAGGTTTTTGTCGGTGAGGTAGCGGTTCATACGGTTGTGAACAAGGCGCTTGAGAAGCTTGGAGGCAAACGGGAGCAGGGAGATGGGTCTTAAGTTATTCAAACAGGTGGGGTCCAGCGAAGGTTTTTTGAGAATGGGGGTAACCAGTGCATGTTTGAGAGGGGAGGGAAAGGTGCCCATGGAGAGTAAGAGGTTGAAGATGTGGGTTACAGAGTTTAGGATAGAGCAGGACAGGATTCAGGGGACAGGTGGTAAAGTAGGCCTTGGAAAAGAGTTCGGTAACTTCCTTGGTAACAGGGTTGAAGGAGGAGAGTATTGAGTTTGGTGTTGGGCCTGGTATGTTGGTTAGAGGAGGAAGCTTGACACTGGAGATCTCATCACGAATTGTCGATCTTGTTCTTAAAATGACTGGCAATCTCCTGTGCAGTAAGTAAGTTGGTGGGTGGAGGCAGTGGGGGGTGGAGTTGACGAGGATTGGATGAGAGGGTCTTGATGAGAGTGTTTGTAGTAGGTTTGCTTAGCAGCGTGGAGGCTGGAGTTGTATTTAAGAAGAGCGGATTTGTAGAGGGTAAAGTCTTTCAGGGATTTAGTTTTACGCCATGCTCGCTCAAGAGTGTGGCTGTGTCTCTTGAGACTTCTGGTGTCATTTGTTTGCCAGGGTTGTGACAGATGAGGCCTGGTTCGGCCTGTAGAAAGAGTAGCAAGAGCGTCCAGGGAGGACGATATAGTTGTTGTACGCAGATGTGGCCAGCTCTGGGCAGGACAGGGGTGCAATTTCATCATAGAGGCACTCCGTAGCGGAGTGAAGGTCAGGCCTGAGGTGGTGGAGGTTTCTACAGGTAACTGTTTGCTGGTTGGAGGCAGGGAGAGTGTGAAGCTGATAAAGTTGTGATCAGAGAGAGGAAAAGGGGTGTTAGAGAGGTTACAGGAAGTACAAAGGGTTGGTGAATACAAGGTCAAGGGTGTTGCCATTGGAGTGGGTGGTGGATTGTGACCATTGTGTTAGGTTAAAAGAGGAAGTTAGGTTGAGTAGTTGAGAGGTGGCAGGGGTGTGAACATTGACTGGGATGCTAAAGTCACCAAGGATGATGGCAGGCACCTCAGAGGAGAGGAAGTACGGTAGCCATGCTGAAAAGTCATCAAAGCATGAAACTGGGCCCGGGGGCTAGTAGATGACTGCGATTCTCAGACAAACAGGAGAAAAGAGACAAATACAGTGCACTTCAAAAGAGCGGAGGGACAGACTGGGCAAGAAGAACCTGGAATGTGCTTTGTGGGGAAAGAAGTCAGACTCAGCCCCCTTTTTTGTCCACTGGGTCTGGGCGAGTGAGTCCAGAGGAGGCCACCATGGGAGAGTGCAGCTGAGGAGACAGTCAGAATCCTGGAGCCAGGTTTCAGTAATAGCAAGTAGGTTGAGGGAGTGGGAGAGGAAGAGGTCATTGATGGTAGAGAGTTTGTTAGAGGCTGAGCGGGCATTCCAGAGGGCACATAGGAGGGAGGGGTTGGTGCATGGATGCAGGGGAATTGAGATGAGAGAGTGAGAGGGGAGGCCGCTGCTTCTGTGGGTTGGAGTTTGATGGTAGAGGGCCAGGGTTTGGGGCAATGTCTCCAGAATTTAGTAGTAGGAGAGTGAGGGAGGTGAGGTGGGAGCGAGATTTATATGAGGGCAAATGCTGCATTTTTATATAACTATAGCTTGAATACGTTTTGGTAAATACCTGAATTGTTTCCAAATATATATGGACCTAACTGTATGTCTGGAGCCTTGCACTTTACTGTAGTTGTGATGGTTTGTTACAAGCATCCATTCTGATGTCTTACATGGGTTTGATGTCCATATAGATGCACAGAGCACTCTGTGTCAGTGGGATCCTGATGCTGTATAAAAGGATAATCTGGCCTAATTGAAATTTGATTAGATGTTGTTTCTCTGGCCCTGCCCTTTTTACATGGTGATTAGCAATGCTACAGGTGGCCAGAGCATGCACCTGCCTCTACACAGGAGGGGTTGGAGGAATCCCACCCATCTTCATCTACTTTGGCAGTAAGTACTTTGTAGGCCTTCAGAGCCTAACTTTGTTCCGCCTATAGGGCTCAAAGCCAGAGGTAGCCAACCCCTCTGAAAAGCCCTGTGCATGAAGTTGAGTGACTATTTGTTCATCTGGATGGGTTCTTTGGGTAGTTTGTCTCAGCCTTTGGGCTGAAAAGAGATGCCTTCAGTACCCAAATGTCAAACTCCACCTTTAGTTACCTCCACTATTTTTGTGCTGCTGCACAAAGCATTGCAGCTTCCCGTCCCTCTGGCTTCCCTGCACCAGATGGACTCCCTGACTTTCAAAGTGGAGCAGGATCTGGCCTCAGTGTTCCTTCATGGCACCTGCTACTTATCAGATCGCTAGAACTTGTCTACCCTAGTGCCTTTTTCCAGTTAGTTATCTCCATTGTGGGATGTGTACACTGAAGGGCCTAACGCCTGCTAGCCTTGACTAGATAGGGTCTCCTTATCCAACCATTCTGTGTGGAGCAGCCCACCTAATACTGATCTGAGCCCAATCTCGATCCAGGGATGTGCAAGACAGCCGTGTCTCAACCTCATTGGCTGAGATAGCAGCGGGAGCCATTGGCTTCTGCGGTCAATCACACCCAGTGAGCAAACAAGAGTGGGGGCCTGGGACTGTGTGTGTGTGTGTGTGTGTGTGTGTGTGTCTACAGACAGAGTAGCAGCTCAGGAGTGAGCCTGTCTGGGTGCCCTTACAGCAAGCTGCTTGCCATGGAGGCACTCAGAAGGAGGGAAGGGCCAGAAGTGTGTGTGTGTCTGTCTTTTAACCAGTTGCCCTCCGCCCTATAGCAAAAATACGACGGGTGAGGCCTGCGTGTAAACACAGGTCTCTCTCCGGCAAGCAATAACATGCTGCAGAGAAATACACAGTAGCATGTTTCCTTCATAAAGCACACACTGCAAAACTGCACGCAGTTAACCCTTTGATCGCCCCAAATGTTAACCCCTTCCTGCCCAGTGTCATTAGTAGAATGTCAGTGCTTTTTATTAGCATTGATCACTGTATTAGTGCCATTGGAATGTCTGTGTCAGTTCCCCCCAGTGTCAGAATGCCTGCCACAGTCCCACTATAAGTCATTGATTGCTGCCATTACTAGTATAAAAAAAATAAAAAATTTGGGTATATATATATTGCCATTCGTAGATGCTATAAATTTCTTGTAAACCAATTTAAGTTACATGTATTGGGATTTCTTTTGTTAGCAAAGACATATAGCAGAATACATTTTGGCCTAAATTTATGACTACCTTTTTGTTTTGTTTTGTTTTGTACTGGATGTTTTATTGCAAAAAGGCAAAATTTTTATTTTATTTTTTTCAAAATTGTCGGTCTTTTACTTTTATAGTGCAAAAAATAAAAAACCGCATAGGTGATCAAATACCACCAACAGAAAGCTCTATTTGTGGGGAAAAAATGACATAAAAGGAAATTTATGTACAGCGTTGCATGACTGCACAATTGTCGGTTAAAGTAACGCAGCACTGCATCTTAAAAATGGCTTGCTTAAGAAGGGGAGTAAATCCTCTGGAGGGCAAGTGGTTTAATAGCATCCAAACCTGAGATCTATATTATGTGCTTTTTCTAGTAGTACTAGAGTGCTTTGTATAATTTGGTGACACTTAATCTTCCTGTTGATGTATTATGTAGATACAGAGGATCTATACATAGGGTTTATGACAGAAGGAGGTGGGTCTGTACTGGGGACGGGTGGCATGTGCTGATTGGTTACCACGGGGGGGGTGTTGGAGGAAACTTGTACTAAAGAATAAGGTGGGATGTTTACTGGGGGTGTCTGTACTAGGGGGAAATAGGGTGGAAGGGGGACCTTTACTGGAATAACTGTTGAACAAATTTAGCCCCAGGTACCATTCTAGGTACGCCACTGATTACATTTATCAGATTTTTCTTTTGTATATCTTTCAGCTGCTCAGAATAGACACCTGCATTCAGCATCATCCTCCTCTCCTGCTCTGCCAATATATGTAGACCTGGCTTACCTGCCTGGAGGACCTGCTGCGCAAACTGTAGAGGAAGAGTTCTTCAGGCTAGTGCGCTCATCCTGTTATGTTGTTAGTGGAGAAGATCCTGTGAAGGAAAAATTTACCCGCAAGGTTCTGGACTCTCTACTGGCTGGAAAAGGCCACTGGGCACAAGAATTGCAGGTATTACTCTTTTGAGATCATTAAAATGGAATGCCAGGATTATTTTAAAATGCTGAATAGATTAAGAAAAATGCAGCCTTATTTCCTCTTTAGCTGCTAAGTGAGTTCAAGTCATTTCATGTGTCAATTCTTAAAGGCATGTACATGAGGGCATTGTTGACTCCAGGTGGTTTCATCCATACTTTAGATCTGGCCAGCTGCTTTCTACTTCCTGCAAGTAGACCAGGCTTTCTGCTTATTGCAAGGCTTCCTGCTTTCTGTGCATGATCCTTTTGGTCTCGGCTTCAATGGGTGTGGGGGTAGTATTCTGAATGGCCAGTGTTTATTATCTACCCTCTCATGCCTAAGGTTTGAGTTGGAGACAAGCGAGTTATCAAGATGTAAAAAAGAGATTTTTCTTTAGCACTACTACATAGCTTCGCCACATACTTTTCTTAGACCCTGTCACCATACCATTCATTGCAACAAAAATATTCCTATAAGAGAAGTAAATTTTAATGTATATTATGCATGCCATTTTACCTGTAAAAGCTTCCTTTTGTAAAGAAATCCAAATGCCCTGAGATTGGATGGACGTAAGGTTAACAGGCCCAGCAGACATATTGCTGTCACTTATAGACCACTCTATAGTTTTCCCCTTTCACCTCTCCTTCAAGCAGATTACATAAAAGGTATAGTAGGGAGGGGGAGGAGCTGGACCAGCACAGGGAGTAGAGGGCTATGATGTGCAAGGAGCTGTGCTATAAAATTGACATGTCAAATGAATGCAAAGAAAACCCTGCAAGTAAGCATGACCAATATTAGTAGTTTTTTGTTTCTGGGCTATTACATGCATTTCTTTAAAATGTGTTTTTTGGTTGGTTGTTTTTTGGGGGGTTTTTTTTATTTATTTTTTTGTAGTTGTTAACCAACCTTTTTATCAAAAGTGATTCCAACTGTAGAACGACCCAGTCACTTTTTTTACTTGGGTTGATGTGAAGGTGCCACCACCCACCGGATGGTCCTGGCCTCTTCCATTCCTCCAGAGAGCCTGGGACCATGGTAAATTGTTTCTGGATGGAGGGCAGAAGCAGATTGTGTAAGGAACAAACATTCCCCAATATGCTCTGCAGTCACTGGAGCTGGAAGCACTCCGCTTTGAACTGTTTAAGGATTTAATTTTATTTATTAATAATTTCTAACTTGAGCTTTCTTTTGGGAAACCTTGTTGTGCAAGTTATTTACAGTAAATACTTTCTAGTAAATGCCAGACAATTCCTAATTTCATGAATTAAATTTTTTTTCTTTTCCTTTTATATCCAGGTAACCGTGATTCCCACATTCGAGTCTGCAGCAGTCCGTGCATGGTATGAAGAAACCCATGCCCTTCAGCAGACATTGGGTGTCATTGTGCTGGGAAGCACCAGCAGTGTGTCAATGCAGGATGAAACCTTCCCTGCCTGCAAAGTGGAGTTCTAATCATTTTCACACTTTTTTTTTGTTTTTTTAAATCTACATGCACTTCTATTTTAAAACTTTTGGACACAGACAAAGCTTTCAGGTTATCGGAGGCCAGTTCTTTTCTTCATTGTGCTTGCCTGATGATGGCAAAGGTGTTGATGCGTCTCCCCTAAAGATGTGAGGCATGAACATTCCGATGAAATGATCAGAGAGGACTGAATGTTCCCTTTTTTTTTTTTTTTTGCACATCTGTATGCATTTTACTGGGAAAGGGAAGCTTGTGCACGATTTGAAGAGGATCGTTCTTATTTGCACATTCACTCCATTGTTCACGTCACGATTTTTGGCATGAAATTCTTTACCAATTGACTTTACCTCCACCTAACCAGAAGACCATGCTTATACGTCACTTTCAGATGTTTACAGTTGTCTTGTGTGTGAAGAAATATCAATATGTAATGCATTAATTGATGCTATAGGCATGTGTTTTAACCTGGCAGCACACATAAGCTTTGCCTGTAGTTGGCGTAATCAGATTATTCACTTTCCCATTTCAATGCACCATTAGGTTTATTGGCTGTCTCTGGTAAATGCTAGGAGATGGCTGTTCAATATGAAATCACAGTAAATCCTTTTACTCTTAGATGTGACTGGTGTACTGATGTACTGAATGTGATAATTCTGTATCATGTTTTTTGAGTTGGTCTACATTCTCATTCATCTAGTATTGCGATTTTGTCCTGCACAGAGTAGTGTTAGCTCATGTGTAGCTTTGGCTGTGAACTTCTGTAGTCCTGTCCACAAGACTGCTCCCAAAATGTTAAGGCAGCAACAAGTAAAAGCTATTTAGCTGAATTACTCGGTTAAGCAGGGTACTGGTTTCTAAGCTGTGTGACCGTTTTTGGTTACAAGGCTCAAACATTTTATACTTCCTTTGTCTTATTTAGGATAAGCTATTACTTCTGGCACTCCAGTGATAGTACAGTTGATGAATGTGTGAAGCAGATACGTGTTTTTTTTTTTTTTTTTTTTTTTTTTGTGTTTTTTTTTTTTTTTTTTTTTAAATGTCTGATTATTTATAGTCTACTTTATATTTACAACCCTTTGCCAGCAGATCGTGCTGGGTGTAGGAAAGCACACTTAGAGCCTGGCTTACATCATAATCATTCACCATCCCTGTTTAGTAATGGAGATGCGTGTTTTTTGTTTGGTTTTGTTTGGTTTTTTTTTTTTCATTTTTACAATTATTTACTGTCTGAGAATTCAAGATAACATGGGTGTGAGTAAAACGTTTTTGTTAAGCAATATTAGGCCTTGTAAAATGGTTAATGTTTATTCAAATGATCAACTACAATACATATTTGGTTTCAGTACTCATGAGCATCAAAAAGAGCCTGATGAATCTTCCTTATGACAATTGAGTGTTCCCTTTTTTTCTAGGTTGATGATGGCCTGATACCTAATGAGCATTTGGCTCAAATTTTAATGCAGGTAGCAGCATCTGACACTGATGCTGTTACAGCATTAATTTTTCTTTTCTTTTTTTCAATATGAGCTTCAATAGGTAGGCTCTTAGCTGTAGACTGGTAGAGAATAACACCTGATTCAAGGGTACGAATCCTGAAGAAACTGGCAATTTCCTATAGCCATTTGAATGCAACTTACCATGAGTTGCTTTGGGTCTTACCTTTTTAAGTCAAATAGGATCTGGCTTGTAATATTTTGTTGGGCAGATTTGGAAATCTGCTGTTAGGAGGAACTCATCGGTATATCAGTATTGCAAATGACACTGCTGACTTGTTTTTGAAGGTGCATTCTCTAGGGCTGTTCTTCCCCCCCCCCCCCCTTTTTTTTTTTTTTTTTTTTTTTTTTTTTTTCTGATTGTGATTTCACTGCTTTGATGAATACCTGACCCAACACTAGCATGTATATGTAGATATCAGGTGCTCTGACAAATAAACCGTGCTTTTTAAACATTCGTGACCCAAGTAGTGACGGAACACCAAGGCTGAACATGCATCTTAAAGAACAAGTCAGCAGTGTAAGCTCCCTTGTTTCCACCCTGCTTGATAGACTCATAATACTGTTAACCACATCCTGGAGTTATTTATCTTGGTGTATACAACTCTGGACAGCTTTTAGACTGTTGCTGTACTTAATAGCCCCATATGACCACTTTTGCTGCAACAGCATGTGGTTTGGAACTTGCATTTTCATTTTGTTTTTGTAAAGAATGTCAAAACACTAAAATGTTCTCTTGTGATCTAAGATAACTACTTCTGTTTTTAAATAGTACTGTCAAAAATCAGTGGTAAATGAAGGACTATTACCTCTCTTCCCTCCCTGTACACAGTAGGGAGGGATGGGATTCGATGATATGATTAATCAATGTTAAAAGTGCCAGTCAGCCCCTAGAATGAGTTAAGAGGGCTTTAAACTCTTTAAAACTATTTTGTCTTCTGTCTGATGGCCATGATGACCATCTCTCTGAGGGGGAAGGGTAGATTGTATGGATAATAAACGACTGTGCCCACAAAATTTGGTGGGATTTATATTGTGAATTCACATTGCTTTCATTAGATGAGCAAATTAAAATCTGATGTAAACTTCTTTTTTGTGTCTGTTTTTTGAGGGAATTACTTTATTTTCTATACCTAATACTGCTATCCTTTCTAGTGTTCTGTGGAACGAAAAAGGCATTGGTGACATTTTGTTCAGACCGAGCTATAATATAAAAATTGGTTCGATTATCTGGCAGTCATTGCTTATTACAAATGTAATGTTGGAGGGGGGTAAAAATAAAATTAGATATTTTTCCAGTGGTTGCCACTGCACACGTATTAGAGAGAAAATGGGTACAGGTGTGCAGCAAAGTCTGTACTACATACAGTATAATCCAAAAGAGGGTGGCACCCACGGGCCTCCACTTTAAAAAGAAGAAAAAAAAGTTTTTGGTTGTGATTTTTAAATGTAAACAAAAAGTGCCAGAAAAGGCCTGGTCTTCAGTGCACCCCTTGTACTTTTTCCTATACACATACCTTGTTCACCATGAACTTGTTGCAGCCCTGACTCGGCTTGGGCAACTATCTTGTCTAGGGAGCATGATACTGGCATGCTGTGGGGTTTTTTTTTTTTTTTTCCTGACATTTTATCTTTAGTGCCTGGATTTGTTTTTTTTTTTTTTTTTTTTTTTTTTTTTTCTTGTATGTACTTTTTTGTTTCTGTTCTCCAAAATTTGGGTATTTGCCCATTTTTATTGTTTTTAGCTGGAAACATTGGCATTTGCACTTGCTGTCATCACATGTGGATGGTAATGATGGGAGGGGTTTTAGGGTGTATAAGGTGTGTCCAGAATATAATGAAAATTAAGTTCCTATGCTCGAGCGGCTCTGTGAAAGTAGAAACTGGCCAAGGTCACTTGAGGTTGGGCTGCCAGGTATACATTCGAACATCAGAAACTTTGGAAATGGTGAGGAAAGCTTATGGCGAAGCTGTGCTATCATCTGCACAAGTGTACCAATGGCACAAGGCTCTGAAGGAAGGACAAGAAGGCGTTGAAGACTAACAACGATCAGGATGTCCCTCTTCGTCACAGACTAAACAATGTGGATTCAGTGAGGTCTGTTCTCAACCATAACTGATGACTTACTATCAGAATGATTGCAGAGGAAACAGGAATTCATATACTCAAGACTTGGACATGAGAAAAGTGTGTACAAAATCTGTTCCAAAGATCTTGTCACCTGATCAGAAGGAACACTGTCAACTCTGCCAAGGTCAGTTGGTCCGCTTTGAAAGAGACTGATCACAGGAGATGAATGCTGGGTGTTTGAGTATGATCCTGAAACAAAGTTCAGAATTGCACACATCCATGTCACCTTGCTCCAAGGCTAGAAGGAGCAAATCAATAGTACTCCCCTTTTTTTTTTTTTTTTTTTTTTTTTTTTTTTTTTTTTTGTTTAAATCATGTGAAAATTGTCCATAATGAATTTGTACCTACTAGTCAAACTGTGACTTGCTGAATGCAGAGCTATTGAGTCTGACTTGGTTCGGCTTGTGTTGGATCTCTGCAATGCAACCTACCTGTTCTAAATGACCACATTTTTCAGTAATCTTGAAATTACATTTTCTCTTTTGTTGACTGAAAAAGCAACTCCTCTTAATATCCATAACCATTTTCTTTCTGCCTAGTGTCCTACTCCTAGTAAGTGGAGCTGTAAAACCCTAAGGAGTCCACAAAGGAAGATCGCCCTTGCATGATCCATGTTTGCTATCACTAGGTTAACGTTGTAACCTGTTCTTTGACCATGGCCCTAGTATCTCAAACTTTGAATGGGCTAAAGTTTTTCCTGAAAGGTATGGCCTCTACTGACTTACGCCAGGAGTATGTGGAACTGGCTGACCAGTTGGTCCAGGGGTTGAAATACATTGCTTGATGATGCCCTGCTTTTCTCAAAGTTTTTTTGTTTTTGGTGTTGCTTCGTCGAGTCCTCTGGCTTAAGTTCTGGTCGGCTGACCAGACCTTGTCCTTCCAGGGAGAATGTGTTGTGTGTGTTTTTGTGTTTACTTGGACAATTTTCTTTTACAAGCATAGTCTCATTCGGAGCAGATCATCATGCATGCTGTGCAGGTTTTTCGGCTGCATCTTGAACCTCAAGAAGTACCCCTTGACTCCAACCAGGAGTCCGAAGTACCTGGGTTTGATTCTAGATTCTGCGGTAGCGAAAGTTTCTCTTACCAGACAAACTTCAGAAGCTTTGGACTGCGGTGCAGTTGCTGTTCTGCAGCCAGTCCTCTGCAGTCTTGCATGCAGGCTCTGGCCCTAATGGTCTCCACCTTCAAGGCTGTCCTGTATGTGCAGTTACATATGAGAACTAGGCAAGTGGGTCCTGGCAAAATGGGACTGTTCTCCCCCCCCCCCCCCTCTCTGGACAGTTAAATTTGTCTGCATTGGTCGATGTGGGGCTCTCTTCTCTGGCGGCTCTGGTTCATGGTGATCTTTGTCAGGGGGGGAGACA